GGGAGGGCAGCGAGAGGGTGAAGACTACAACAGCAGCAAATAAACATGAGCAACATGGTCTGTCATGAAACAAAAATTGAATATATTTGAAAGACGGAGACAGAATGAAAAGAGAAAAGAGAGAATTGACAAGAAAGGAAAACCCGATTCACATGACAAAATCTATAAATAACGCATGTATCATTGATGAACTTGAAATTGGAGGGGGGGGGGGGGGGGAAAGCGGTTATGACACCTTAAGATAGGAATCATTGTGTGTGCCCGGCTGGTGAAATTATAAGATATGATGACTGAATTGTAACTATCGTATAGGTCGAAAGTCACCATTGAACGTGGGGTGGTCGGGTGCAGATATAGCACGTCCCAAATAGTGGTCGATGGAAAGAATAATTAAGAGTCGGAGTCACTCTGATGTTGAGTTACCCACCGTCAACACTATGGCCGGTCCGTTCTAGCTAAGAGGGACATCTAATGACCACCCGCAAAACTAGGCCCCGGATTTCTATAAAGCATGTAAGTTATCGTTCACGAAGCCTGGGCCGTTTATCAAATCTCTCCGGTTATCCACAATGGGAAAAATATCTCCAAACAGAAAGCCATCCTCAAACTTTAAGCTTTTTTCCCGCACAAACGAATATATTGCAAAACCCATCTGGATGGTGGGGGATGCAATGCACCGGTGAGAGGTGAAGGGGTAATTGGAAAAAAGGGGAAGGAGCGCGGCAAAGCAGGCAGATATCAGGATGAACGAAGAACTGGAAGGAATTTAGGATGGAGTTGATGCGCGTGTGTTCAATAGTTTTGTTGTGTTTTCTTTCCGAATGAGAAATGTCGGGAGACTGAATTTATATGAGTTCGAGAGTGGCAGGAGGCGGGCAAGTGTTGCAGCATCGAAAACATTTCCACCAGATTTTGTGGGATGCAGGATGGGGTAATATCCATCCCATCGTGCGGAAGTGGTTCTCGTTGATATGTGTTATATCTTTTATCCGTCTCTATGCAGAAGGGGAACAGCCGGCCCAATTATGAAGAAAAAAGGGATAGATGGACGACAGTAGGAAGTGAGCACCGGCTCTTCATACTTCTTCTCACTAGCCTTTCAATTTCTAGAGCATCGTGTCAAGGAAGCTGCCTACACTACGGTCTCTGGCCTTTATCCCCAACCCAAGCCTGGGTTCTCTGCTCCGATCTAGTGGTGGATTCCCCAGGTATTGGAAAATGTGTGAGCAATGCTGAGGATTGAGCAGCGGGGCCTGATTAAGCTTGAGCTGGTGGGAGAGACTTGACCCTCGAGATAGAGACAAATTATCCACCTCATAAGAATGTTCCACATGGTGAGCAAATTGTCCCAGAGTGTATGGATGAAATGTTAGTATGTAGCTGCTTCTATGGCAAGATGAATTTGACCCTGTTTCTATTCAATATCCGTATACTAATGAAATCTGAGAGAGTGGAGTCAAGTTGGGGCAACCTAGAGGCTACTTAAAGAAAGTTGCTCAGAAAACTAATTAAAAACTAATTAGCTTAGTGCAAGCTTCCATAGTCACTCTATCGCTGTCCCGGATAATCAACTTCATCTCCGTTGAATTGTAGGATCGTATTTTTATGTGGATTCTGCTATGAGAGGATAGTTACTAGTAGCGTATGGGAGATGCCACGAGGCAGACACACAGGATACACATTCTGCCGACCAACTTTGCAGAATATCTGATCTCGAGCAGATAGATGGTGAGGAGCAGCTACTATGGATACCAGCCTATGGACGCCATAACATTGGCCTGACCTTTCTGGCGACTCAAATATACTCTGTACGCTGGACGAGAGAAAGCTCGAGAGAAGACAGTTCCCCGTGTTGTATGGATCACATTATGACAGAGAACAGTTGGCCGACCGCTGGAGATAAATATCAAATCGAGGTGGCTTCGGCCAGCTCGATTCCACTACTGACCTATTTTTAGAGTGTCTTTCAAGTTTTCTTTTTCTTCTTCCAGATTGTTTCAAACAACCACCACCAAAGAAGGCCCCAAAAAAGCCAACTCCCAACAACCCCAAAGCCAGGCTAAACGCCACCATGTGTGTCATCATTGGTTGCCTTTTCCCATCTCGAGCTCTGCTTTGATCAAAGAAGGATCTCATCATCTGCTTGTTACTTTCCTCCCAAGTCTAACCGATGCAACGCGTCCGTCCTCGGCCATGATGCTGCATCCAGTGACAATGGAGTGCGGGTTTCAAAAGGCAACAAAAAGTTGAAGAATATCAGTTCTATGATGAGATTGGAACCTTTGGCGGGGTTCTCTTTATCACTACTTTTTCCGTGTCAAGGAAGAATGTCTTTCTCCGTTGCTCTTTGGCATATTTTTCCGGAGGACTCTTCGCCTCCCGTCCCAATGCTTCTTTGTCAATTCTCTTCAAGAGTCCTTAGCTAGGGACTGCAACAAGTTTCGCACTTCCGTTGCCTCTTTGTGTCGTCCATCTCCAATGCATATATACACACTCCGGTCTGATGGTGGCTATAACTATGCATGCCATGGACATTTCCATATTCAAGAGGTGTTGCTGTTTCAGGACTGTTTTACTGTCTCCTGCCTACCGTATCTTATTCGAATAACCTAAATATTGAGGTGAAAGAAGAAAGGCGACACCCAGAGTCGATGCTTCCCCAGCGTGGCCGCTTGTCTTGTTGAAAGGGTATCAATTGCAGCTTCCAGTTCATCATATTGGAAGACGAGCACCGGAAGTTGTATCTGGAAACTTTGGATTATGGCATGCTTGTTTTTCTGATATTCCCGTTATTTGTTCCCCAAAAGTTCTTTTCACAGTCGCCAAACCAGTACGAGTGATTGAAATTATTATCGGGATATTCCCACTTGCCGACGATGCACATTCAAGAAGACTCGAGCGAGAGCTCAGGAGGGAGTACCCCGACGTGGTCTGTACCGGCACCTCCAATTCGTCAGTGGGTATGCTGAAATAACTCGGATCTTTCTAACTTTCGAGTCATCCACGTCTGTAGTGCCTCCTCGTCATCTTACATGGAACCCGGTGCCATTTACGTGCAAAGACAACCCTCGGGAAAACCCGCATTTGTCCGTCGACCAAGAAGAATCAAGACTCCGGG